AGTAAAATATGTATTGTGTTGGTTTAGTGTACCAGAAATATGTATGTATGTGTGTGTGTTAGCAATGAAATGTGATATTTTCTCCTAAAGGTGTATATTATAAGCTGCCATTGAACGGAAACGATTATAAGTTTCAATTGACTTGTAACGGTATTTTGTTCTTTTCTTTTGATTTATAAACCGTTTAAAATGTGTTTACTATTTCCGTTTGAATTAGAACTATTATTCATTTCATCATGACATATAAGAAAATATGTTTTTCATTTCTAATGTTCTCTGTTTGAAAAGTAATCTAAGTTATTTATAAGTTCAAGATAATTTATTTTTGGATTTAGTTTTAAATTAAAAATAAAAAAAACTATTTTAATATTTTGAATAAGATAAATGCTTTATTTATAACAGGAATCGAAATGACTTTTTGTCATCGAAAAAATGCCGCAGTACCCCCATGACACAATAATTACATTTTACAAACTTTTGCTCATAATATGATTGTCAATAGACAATAGGCAGATTCGCAGACTAGTCAACAGACTAGCCCATTGACTACCCAATAGACAAGTCAATTGTCTAATCAATAGACTAGACAATAAAGAAGTCATTAGATACTAAACTAGTAAATAGACTGATTCAATAGGCTAGTCTATAGACTATTCCATAGATTAATCAAAAGACTATTTCATAAACTTTTCAACAGGTTAGCCAACATACTAGTCTACATTGACTAGTCAATAGGTCAGTTCATAGACTACTCAACATACTAGTCCACATACAAGTCAATAGACTAGTAAACAGACTAATCCATACTACTAATCCAGATTACTAAAGCGAATAGTCAATAGATTAGTAAAGTGAATAGTCAATGTACTTGTAAATTGACTTGTCAGTTGATAGACTAGTCCATTAACTAGTCAACAGACTAATCCCTAGTCTAGTGCATAGACCTGTCAATAGGCTAGTCCATATAATAGTCAGAATGCTAGTTCAAAAACTACTCTAAAGAAATGTAATTCAGTTTAGTACCATTTCCAAATTTCAGTTTTCCATGAGTGATTTATAAAGTTTCTAAAGTTATTGAAGGCGTATGATTAATATAATTTTTAAAAACTTTTTACATATTAATCATACGCCCACTGTACAATATGTTTAATTAATTAAAATGTAAATCACATTTAGAAATGTGGATATTTTCTATTATATTTAATAACAAGGAATGTTATATCGACATTCAAAGACCTTTTTGTGAAAATCTTAATTTTTATCATTTGATATAGTTCTCAAAATATTGAAATCATGTGGAAAATTTTGAGAAATGGAATAAATATATAATCCACCTACTAATTACCTTTTAGTAGAAAGGAAATAAAGTTATATCCTTAATGTACAAAAACAAGTCCTTTGATCCTTTGATGTTTATGTGCTTTGTTTATGCCTATGACGAATAAACAATCAAATGAATTAGTATTTAGGTTAGATATCAAGTCATCATATCAAACAATCAAATCATCATACAATCTGCGTATGTACACATATTTTAAAGGATAATAGCTGATGGCACTGCTAACGTTATAATGTCATAGATCTATAGTTGTTTACATATATACATACATGCATGTATAGAAATATGTATATGCATACAACTATGTATATAAGGAAGCGTATGTATATGTTTGTTGTATTTTATATATAAACGATACCGCCTACATACACATGTCCAATATGATTTAAATATCAGTTGTATTGTTTGCAGTCTATAAAATCACAAACTCAAACACACACTCATATGCACATGTAGATAAGAATTTAACCTTAAAGCTATGGGTACAAGTGATAATTACCTAAGTCGTTTGAAAAAGGAATTAACAAACAAAAATTTACATTTATGAGCCCCGATTCTTTTACTTAATAAATATCGATAAAAACCTAATAATTTCCTAATATAATTCAGTTTTTAAATAGCCATATATTACGAAATTATAATTTTTGACTAAGTCTATTTTAGCTTATGACCACAGATAATATGACTGCATATTTGTACATTTTACAGTTTAGTTTGTTGGTAGTGAAAGTGAAATACCATGTTTATATACTAAAATGAAAGAATAAGCGAACAAACGAACAAAAGCAAAAAAAAAAGAAAACAACTAAAACTAACACTAAAACCAAGTCTGAAATGCAGAGTCGGCCATGTGGAAACGTGATTGCAATACATTTATATGGATGAAGGATCAAAGTGTCTAATTAAATCAAGGATAAAATGTTAAAAAGTCAAAATCATATAGATAAAAGTGTTTCTTATAATACAATAAATAAGAATGGTACTTTTATCATACAAAAATGGTATGACATTAAATAAGTATAATAAATTGTTTCCTTTAACGCAAAATTTCTTTTGTTTTTTTTTTTTTTTTTAAATACTGACGTAGTTTTTAAATGTTCTTGAAGAAATTAAAAAGTTTTTTTCTACGTTTTTGGGTTCTAGAAAGAATTATAATTTTTTTATAAACAATCTGGCAAATAACACTTTTTGTAAATTTCTAAAAACAAATTTTTAAACCCCATAACTGTCAGTCAAACAGTAAAGAGTATTTTTGCTATTAAATACGTTGTGACTCTTATTGCAAAATATTATTTGTCAAACTCGCAAAAAGCTTTTAAGCCACTTATGATTTGAATGAACCAACAAAGTTTTATTTTACTTACAAACATATTCTTTGGTCACATTGAAAATCAACACCCACCACAATCATTTATAATGCATTAGAAACAAGCAGAAACAACCAGCACAAGGAGGTATTAAATTTCTCATTTTAAAGTCTAAAAAGTTTCCTTAAAGACGTAAATATACGATTTTTTACAAACAGATTCTTAATAATTTTCCATAAACTTTATTGTTTAATTGTTCACAAAGTTTCTTTACTTCAATCTACAATTCAATCTCTCTCCTTCTCCTTGAACACAGCAAATATTTTTAAATTTTTTTTCAAGGACATTTAATGTTAAATAATTTACAATCCTTCTTCTTTTTTTTTTTCTCAGTTTACAATAGAGTATAATAAATAGTGATAAAACCTTAGATACAATAATTCGTTATAAATTCTGGTCACTTTTTGTTGAATAAACAAAACAATTTCTTGATGAGTTTTTACAATAAGGAAAATGATACAAAAAAAAAAAAAAGAACGTACAAAATTAAAGGATAAATGGAACTCGTGTGAAACAAACAGCTGACTAAATGAATCGATTGAGGAGTATTTGTCCATTGGATATTTTACCTTACATACATATATTCCTTTGTTTGATATTTTTTTGTGTGGTACAAGTACACTTAGGGAAATTCTAACAGTTGGCTAGATAAAAAATCTATTTTTATTATTATAATATTGAAAATTTCTTCCTTGGAGACTTTTCTACAGAAAACTTCTTTATCGGAGACTATTCTATATAAGACTTCTTCATCGATGACTTTTCTACAGAAAACTTCTTTATAGATAGGTTTTCTACAGAAATCTTTTTCACAGAAAACTTCTTCATCGAAAATTCTTCACTCTTCTATAAAAAACTTCTTCATCGAACAGTTTTCTATAGAAAACTTCTTAATCGAACAGTTTTCTGTAAAAAAACTTCTTAATCGAACAGTTTTCTATAAAAAACATCTTCATCGAACAGTTTTCTATAGAAAACATCTTCATCGAACAGTTTTCTATAGAACACATTTGCATTGTTTTACTATTCTATATAAGACTTCTTCATCAAAGACTTTTCTACAGAAAACTTCTTTATCGAACGGTTTTCTACAGAAATCTTTTTCAGAGAAAACTTCTTCATAGAGAATTCTTCACTCTTCTATAGAAAACTTCTTCATCGAACAGTTTTCTTCAGAAAACTACTTAATCGAACAGTTTTCTATAGAAAACTTCTTAATCGAACAATTTTCTGTAAAAAAAATACTTAATCGAACAGTTTTCTATAGAAAACATCTTCATCGAACAGTTTTCTATACAAAACATCTTCATTGAACATTTTCTATAGAAAACTTCTTCATCGTACAGTTTCCTATAGAAAACTTCTTCATCGAATAGTTTTCTATAGAAAACTTCTTCATCGAACAGTTTTCTATAGAAAACTTCTTCATCGAACATTTTCTATAGAAAACTTCTTCACGAACAGTTTTCTAAAGAAAACTTCTTCATCAAAGTGTTTTCTATAGAAAACTTCTTCATCAAAGTGTTTTCTATAGAAAACTTCTTCATCAAAGTGTTTTCTATAGAAAACTTCTTCATCAAAGTGTTTTCTATAGAAAACTTCTTCATCGAACAGCTTTCTATAGAAAACTTCTTCATCGAAGTCTTTTTTATAGAAAACTTCTTCATCGAGGACTTTTTATAGAAAACTTCTTCATGCAGACTTTTCCATAGAAAATTTCGTCATTGAATTCTTTTCTATAGAAAACTTCTTCATCTAGGACTTTTATACAGAAAACTTTTTATCAAAGACTTTTTAATAGAAAACTTCTTCATTGAAAACTTTTGGAACAGTTTTCTAAAGAAAACTTCTTTATTGAAAACGTTTCTATATTAAACTTCTTCATCAAAAAAGAAAATTTTTCATTGAACAGTTTTCTATAGAAAATTTATTCACTGAACATTTTTTTGTAACAAAAATTTCTATATCGAAGAATTTTTTAAAGTATACTTCAAATTTTTACTAAAAAAAACTTAATTTCAATCTCATGGAAATTTTTTTATATTTTTCTTGAAGTGCAGTCACTCTGTAAACGATAATAAATGGCATATGAATTACAGTAGATAAAAGGTCTAACAATATTTTTTTAACTATATTTAGACCAAAAAAGCCAAATAAATAAATAAATACTACAATAGACGATAATAATAGAAAACTAAAAAAAAAATTCAATAAAATACATTAAATTTAATGTACATTTATTTTCTTCTTCTTCTTTTCTTCCTCTCTTTCCTTCTATTTATTAATACAAACAGTTATGTGAAGACAAAATTGACCGAATGGAAAACCAAAAATTATAAAAAAGCAACAAAAACAGCAGAAAATATAAACAACAATAAAAAAACAAAACAAACAAAAAAAAAACTCATCATATAATGTTGGCCACAGAAGTTATTGTTCAATTAATTGCTCAATTTTTTTTAAATTTTTATAAATTTTCAATAAAAGCCTGATGTCAGTCAATATTTCTTGTACGTTGCGTCTCACCCTACGTTTCTATCACTCTCTCTCGTTCTTTAAAAAAAAACCACAACAATTCCATTAAATGCAACTAAGTACTAACTATTTTGGAAAGCATTTAGTTAGTAACAACAACTAACTGCAATATTCAGCCAGTATAAATATAAATAATAAAGAATAATAATAACAACATTAATATTTAATAAATTATTTAAAACTGCCTATAATTTAAATAATAAAACAACAAGAAACAAAATATAAATTTCCCAGAGAAATAATAATAAATTCACTTGCTACTATAATAACTCATTCGCGTATATGATAACACCCCCAAAGCAACCAAATCAAATCCACCCACCATTTAAACGTAATATCCGTAATTAGCGTCACTATTTGCCAACGTCGACGTCTACATTGTTGCTATTGCTGCTGTTTGTTTGTTTGTCAACGGCATTGAACAAAAAAAATACACAAAATAAATCCTATTCAGCAGAATCAATATCAATATAATTGATATTATTATAATCTAATAAATAATAATTATCAAATTGTATTATTTTATTAACAACAAACAATAATAAATAACAACAATAATGGCCATTAATATATTGGATTATGATCATTATGCCATCAGTGCCATTGTAACGGTCAGCATGCAAATATTTTTCTTTCTCATCAATTCAATACTTCAAATGGATAAATTAACAGATTTTGCTGGAGGTGTTAATTTCATTATAATTTCGCTGTTGACATTTTTCTTGGGACAAATAGATCGTCCATCAAAGGTAAGTTAATTTGCAATTATTTAAACTGCTAAATAAATACTTATCTACTATGTACTCATTAGTTTTAAGTATTATTAAGTTACCAGTAGGGTTTTGTATTCAAGAATTCTAGGAATAAGTTTTTCAAATAATTAAGAAAATATTCAGTTATTGTATATTGGGGGGTATATTGTTTTTGTCATTCCGTGACACCATAGAGTATATGTACATATGTATATGTATAGTAATTAAATTTTGAATTATGGCGGAAATCGGACAATAATTGACCCTACCCCTATATAAGGTTTCATTCAAGAAATGATTATAATATGCTCATTTCTGACATAACTGCACAGCAATATAATCTGTCACTAGCAAGTTTTATAGACGAAATCTTAATACCAAATTTGAAGAGAATCAGTCCATATTTGCCCCACTCCCCATATAAGGTCTCCTACAGAAATTACTTTTACGCTAATTATTGGCTTAAAAATAACTGTATGGGGATGAAATTCGATATAAACAAGTTTCATGTAACCGAAATCTCTCTGCTAAAGTTTATTAAATGATGGATTAACCGAATTGACCCTACCCCCATGTAAGATCCCCTTCAGAAAATGACTTTAACACCCATTACTGGCTTACATAAAACTTTATCTATCTATCTATCTATCTATCTATCTATCTATCTATCTATCTATCTATCTATCTATCTATCTATCTATCTATCTATCTATCTATCTATCTATCTATCTATCTATCTATCTATCTATCTATCTATCTATCTATCTATCTATCTATATATCTATCTATCTATCTATCTATCTATCTATCTATCTATCTATCTATCTATCTATCTATCTATCTATCTATCTATCTATCTATCTATCTATCTATCTATCTATCTATCTATCTATCTATCTATCTATCTATCTATCTATCTATCTATCTATCTATCTATCTATCTATCTATCTATCTATCTATCTATCTATCTATTATCTTTCTACACATACATATTACCTAAACAACATTCGTTTTTGAGATTACGAAAAAGTCTGCATGAAAACGTTGGTAAAAACGAGTTTTTACGAGTACAACTTTATTTCCGAATTTACAAGAATACTTTCACCCATAAGATGGCTGTTGAAAAAAAACTTCGAAAAACTAAAAACCCTAGTTCTAAGTACCACATATAATTACATGTTTTTATATACCGACACATGTTGTATTTGTAGTAGTTATAATAAGCATTTTATTAAAATAATAATCCCATAATTTATTCAAATCACACACTTAACAATATCTCTACAATTGTATCAGGATTTTCTTTTTTTTCAACAAACGATAAATTTAAGGCCAAACACATGAAGTGCAGATTGTGCTATACAAGTATGTAATGAATGAATGAATGCGTACTTATATACTCAATTGAACAACATATTGTATACATAGTATGTATGGGGAGGGGTTTTCCATGATATTTGTAATCATAACTTATGAATTATAGATTCAACTATGTATTTGTATAAGTATAATGTAATATAATTTACAATATTTTTCCGGTTCCTTAGAAATATTGGTTTCGATTCAAATCTTGCTGATATCACCTGAATTCAAGTTTGGAATCAATAAATCGAACATAATTTGGAAAATGTTTCTAGATATAATAAAATTGCGGCAACCTCAAGTATTTTGTATGAAATACGAAAGGAAAAGAACACGCATGGATCGTGTTTATTTGTTTGAATACAACATGATCCATAGGCTCCATTACATAGGACACTGTTGCGGATCATGTACTCCAATAATTTTAGCAAGGAAATAGTTTAGATTAGTTTTGGACCAGTCCCTTGAGGAGTAATCTGAACACGCATGTGCGGATTAGTCATAATTTTTGGAAACCATTTATTTATGTGCTTGAAATGATCTAGAAGACCAGATCAAGGATTTTTAGAAACCAAATTTTTTTCTATAACTTTTCATTTTTGAAAACGTTTTATTTATGTTCTTGAAATGATCTAGAAGACCAGATCAAGGATTTTTGGAAACCAAATTTTTTCTATAACTTTTCACAGATTTAGTCAGTTTCCGGAAATATACGTTTTCATACAGAATGACTCATACACATTCTTGTTTGTCCGGATGTAGTTCTACACACAAAGATACATGAATATAATATGTACATGTTGTTTTGCAGTTTACGAACACAATGCAATTTAATAGTTTCTTTCATATTATGACAGGCTACAATAGAGGCCTTTTTAAACTGTAAACCCAAAATGCAAGTTAGCAAATTTTATTTTATATATATATATTTTTTTTTTGCATTCTATGCCCTAATACAAAATACATGTTAAATATGTATTGTTTGTAATATACATACATATTTAAAAGAATGTATACACACATATTACAAACTAATACAGAGAAAAACTTATTTTAAAAAGAATTAATTCTTTAGTTGTGAATCATCTTTAACATGCACATAGTTCCTATGCGAGACAAGTATACTACAAATGCATAAACTCTGGATGATATCGGAGGACCTTATTGATAGTTAAAAATGAAAAATCTATCAAACCGGTAGTACTACTGGTCCTTTATTACCGATATGTGATCTCATAAGCTATCGAAAACCCATATTGATATCAAAATTAAACTAAAATGTAATAGAATTCTTGTTTGATATCGAAAAACATCGTGCCATGAAGGTAAAATAAGACCAATTTTAATCGATTATAGTATCTTAAATTTAGTGACAACGACTAAGAGACATATTTGTAGTTTATATTTAAATCACCACAATGAATTAATTCCTTTAGACACTTCATATTTTACTAAAGTATTTCTTTTATTAGAAGAAAAGTAAATTATTTCCTTTTGTAAAACTGTCAGTTGATGTATCTATGTAAATGTATTCATATTTACTTACATACTATATAGTACATTTATTACAAGTAAATTCAACTATGTATAATAGAAAATATAATGTATGAATTTGTTTTTGTAAATTGTTGTAGTACATATTGCATTATTATATTGCAGTCATGCATTTTATTTATAAGTTAATAAAAACTAATTTTGAAATGTGGTTGCAAGTTGTTTAAAATTCTTAAAGAATATTTAAATTAGATAATAACAACAACTATGATAGACAGTAGGAAAAAAAGTGTCTATTTTTATAAAAAATTTAGCATGTCCTTCGTTGTATGGAAATATTTTTTTTAAATTACCTTTTTTTTACTTTGATGGTTGCAATTGATTGACTAAAATATTTAGAAGGAAATATTGAATTTGAGTGACAGAGCTTGTTTTTCGATAACTTTATGATATTTTACTGAAACTTTGATAAGAAGACAGGCGTTATTTAGATTCTTAAGATCAAACGCTAGATCCAATTTAGACTATTTAGTTTACATCGTTATAAAGCGGTAGATATTTTTCTGACACTTGTATTTAAACAAATCCAAAAGTTATGTCCCCTTGGTTGTGCTCTCATGAATGTCTTTGGAGGTAGTCTTCCCTCCTATTGGAACATGCAGCTTCTCCCCCATCATGCCAGTATTGTCCACTTGTATTATCTCTTGTTGATTCGTAACTTCTAAATCTGTTAGAAAGATTCAGGCGACCTTCCTAACGGTGCACGGACTTGTTTTTATACACTAAATAACCGTCCTTAGAAGACTTTAAAATAAAAGTCGAAGTCGACTTTTTTGCCCTAACGAAGTCGTTAAGTGCTGGTCTACACAGGGCAACTTTTTTTGGGAAACTTTTGATTTTGTGTGTGAGAGAAAGAAATATCATTCATCTCTCTCGCGGTACGGACCTTCTTGTACTCGGAAACTTGTTTTGTTTTCTTATTCTTATTCCCCGAAAAACTTTTTAACGAAGAACTGATCTTCTAATGAAAAACCGATTATTCACCGTAAACTCCTTCATTTACCCAAAAATTTATCTTTTATCAAAATTTCGTCGATCGTTTACCGAAAGCATATCTTTCTCCTAAAACCGATCTTTTTCCGAAAAAACAATATTGTAACAAAAAGTCAATCGATATTTCCGACCATTCTCGAAAAACGTATATTCCACCGAAAAAACAATCATTACTCGAAAAAAAGAAATACCAAAAATCCAATCATTGGCCCAAAAATCCCTCCTTTCACTTTTCAGAGAAGTGTATACATGTACGCTATATATATATGTACACTCTAGCTATACTCTATTAAAACACTCCTACATGTTTACCACACTCCAATTGTTTACAATTTTATTTATCTAATTTTAAAACTAAAGTCCCTTCTCAACAATTTCACATGAAATTGAAAAACAATTTCTTTTATTTTACCATGACGCACATACATTTAATGGATTTGACTTTTGAAATTGACTTTTTTTAAATTAATTTAAAGAAAAAAATCGTCATTTCCTGTCATAAATAACAAGTTTATCAATCTATTCGAATACCAATAAGATAGCTGCACTTGTACAAGTTGTTTTTCATGATGATGGTGATGATGATGGTGTCTACTACTTGTAACACTCATTTTCATGGATACACAAATACAATGTATTTCTATGCATAGTTGAATATGAGTGAGTGCATACAGTAATTGATGTTAACACAAGAGAATGAACGTTTTATATTTATTTTACATACATTCATATTTACACAATTATATTTATGTATGTATGTACATAATGTAATTTACATATTTAGTGTGTACCTCTACTAACATACTTGTAAACAATTTTGTTTTTTTGCAAAAAAAAAAAAATGATGAACTTCCTGCTTCTAAGGGCTTTTATCACAAAACAACATGTCGTTCGGTGTAATTAGTAGTTGTTGGTTGTAGAGGTTGTTCTTGGTAACTGGTGGCTGGTATGACGAGCACTACTTGTTCACATAAAGGAATCATTTTCACGGACAACTTGAAATCTTTTTATTTCTTTCTTCTTGTTTTGTTCGTCCTTTCTTTTTATAAAATGTAATTAAAAAATCAATAGAAATTTTGTGCATTCT